TCAGGAGCTCTTTTTATTTTTGGTCTGTAACTCAGAGTTAAAAATTTGCTCAAGACTGAAATGTAGCAGCTGGGATCTGAGTCCAGGGTAAATATTTTCCTGATTTCTTTCTGAAGAGTGGAGTGGGTTGTTTGTTTCAATCCTACCTAGGCCTATAAGATGCTCTGCTATATTTATATATGTTAGTGTTAAAAATACTGTACTGCAAATCTCAGCTTGTGTGCACTTACAAGAGTCTGAGACTTATTTTTCCTGGGAGTATTCTGATGGCAAAGCCAGAAAAGTAAACACCAAAGTATTTGCAGTGCTTTTGCCTTTTTATTTAGAACAGTGTTTCTTAAACTTTTTAAGACCAAGGAACATAAACAATAATTTTTATGAAGAACACCAAGGATTGTTTGTTGAGAAAAAAAAAAGGTTGGGGGAAAGTTATTCAGAAAAAAAAAAAGGGTAACCTGCCTCTTTAAGGGCAGCCATTTTGAATTCTGTTGTTCTCCACAGCACACCTCTGACTGTCTCACAGCACACGGTTTAAGAAACAGTGATCTAGGATCTCAAAACACTTTGTAAAACTCAAAACTTTCCTTGGAGGCAATTAACTCATTATCTTAACCCTTTTGCAGATGGACAAAGGAAGGCAAAGAGAACTTATCTTAGCCAAAGTCATACCCATTTATAGCAAAGGCAGAAATAGACACCAACAAGTCCTGAATCCCAGTTCTTTCCTCTAACCTTTAGATCACTAGCTTCAGGGGGAACCGAGTTAGTCTGTTACAGAGAAAAACAACAAATGGTCTGGTGCACTTTATAGACTAACAAAACATGTAGATGGTATCATGAGCTTTCGTGGGCACAGCCCACATCTACATGTTTTGTTAGTCTATAAAGTGCTACCAGACCATTTGTTGTTCTTTAGATCACTCTTCCTCCCGATAGCAAACAACAGTCCTGGAACTTATTTTCAGCTGTTAAGATAGTTTCTTAAATAACATCTTATATAATACCTTTTCAGTGAGTGGAAGCAATCAGTAAGAAACACGGAACCACAGATGACTACTTTCAGTTCTTATAGACTTAATGGGACTATGACAAGAAAACAGGGGTAAGATATTCGGGTACCAGGAGAGGAATTACAGGACACCGATCGAAGCTACATCTACACTGCAGCGTTATTTTGGAATACCAGAGGTATCCCGAAATAGCTATTTTTCATCTTTTGAGCACACCCATTATTTTGAAATATAATGGGCTCACTATTCCCTGTAAACCACATTCCACAAGGAGTAAGGAACATTGCGGAATAGTGATTTTTTAAAAATAAGTGCTGTGTAGACAGGGCCTAATTTTGAAATAAGCTATTTTGAATCGGTCTCAAAATAAGCTATGCAATTTGCGTTGCTCAAATTGTGTGGCTTATTTTGAGCTACAGGTGCAGCGTAGATGCAGTTCTAAGTTCCAGTCCTAGTTCTACCACAGCGTTCCTGTGTGATCCATGGCAAATTGTTTAGCCTCTCTGTGCCTTGGTTCTCTGACTGAAAATTTCGGGGCTAATCTGTTTGGATTATAAAGTCCTGGCCATGTGTCAGTTTGGGCACCAAGAACAAAGGGAGCGTCTCAGTGCCACCATAATACACTAATGATAATTTGATAAAGAAGGGGCTGGACCAAATTGTTTTGGCACCAGGACTAATGTCAATGACTATGGGCCGACCCTGATCTCGTCTACAGCAGAATTAGGTCTCCTGTTTTTGGAGTGCAGAAAAGCCGCATACAAGCCAACTTGGCCCACACCCCAAATAATTCAATTTGCTCTCTGTACCAAGAAGTACACTGAGAGACAAGTCAAATATTTGCTTTTCACTTTGTTTACAAACCGTGAAGGTCAAAATATAATTTTGTACTAGCTACACACTAAAAAAACACAATAGAAACTTCCTGACTGTAAGAGAACCTTGTAGCATGAGACAGATACTATTTTTAACAGGTATATATGCCTTTAGTAGCTATTTCATAGAATCATAGAAGATTAGGATTGGAAGAGACCAGTGTTCCCAATAAGCTGTGCGCTTGAGTGGCCACCCTGTAGAGATTCAAATGTCACACAACTGATTAGCAGAATGCCCACAGCTAGCTGCAGACAGCAGCATGTGTTTCCACTGGTGGTACACATCCACACATGCTTCTGTGAACATAAAATTTATTCCACACACAATGGAAAAATTAGAGAGAACATTGAAATAGACCTCAGTCCAAATCCCTGCTCAAAGCAGGACCAACCTAACTAAATTTCTTTTAGTTGACCCCATGGTATTGACCAGTTATTAGATAAGCAAAACAAGCCAACCCTTTTGAACTCCTAGTTTGATTACACTGCTTGATAAAAGTAATACGAGGACATTAGAGTTTCTCTGGGTAGATCTTTAATTGATACTGTTGCATATTTCCTTTAGGCTCAGCTGAAAGTGTCCTGTGTGTCTTCCTCGGTCAAGGGATCACTACATATTGATACCTTAAACTGAGGAAGACAGATCTTAAGGGTGAAGATCAAAGAAATGCTTCCATTACTGACATTCAAAGAACATTATTAGATGCATGCAGATTGTTGGTGGGGGAGGGAAAAGTTGTTTTCTTTTTTATTCATTTAATTGGTACATTAAAATGTCTTCTGGGGATTAGGCAGAGAAAGTGGAGTTATTGAGAGCTGTACATTTTGGTTCTCATCCTCTACTCACTTACATTGGCATAAATCAGGAGTAAATCCAGTGATAAAGTTGGGGGAAGTGAAAACAAATGTAGATCAAATAAGTATTCAGAATTTCCTGTGGCCTTGGGAGGATGCTCCTACCTTCACTGTGACATGATTAAACAAGAAAGAATGTGACAGCGTGGGGGAAAAAAACCCTGATTTTTGAATGCATGCTCAGATTCTGATGGGAAACAACAGAATGGACCAGATTCTTAGCCAATGTAAATGGATGCCACTCCACCGGAACCAATGGAACTGCGTCAATTCATACCAGCTGAGGATCTGGTCCTATATTTCTCTCTCTTTCTGAGGCAAGTTTGGGAAAGGGGGCTGAGGAGCTTCACTGTGAAGAATCTTACAATAGTAGATGTTAGTGACACCTGTGGCTTGCTCTCTGCATGTTTTGCTGGGTCTGGTGAGGCGGTGACTCCTTTACACAAATGGACCTTTGCTGCCCATCATTCTGTGATACCAAATGGTGCCCTCTAGCTGCAGAGGCCACCATTAATGCCAACATTTACCATCAGCTATGACACAGTGAAATCGGGAACATCACAATGTTCCTTAAACTTAGAACAGGAAATAATCATTACACCTCAGAGCAAAGATGTTAATTGCATTGATTGTTAATAAGCGTTGACTTCTTTAGGGCAGCCACTGTACATCTTGCATTTCACAGGGCGTGGATTCTGAGAGCTAGTGTGTCTTTTCCATCAGTCGCTTCAGCAAGCACTGAGACCCAGTTCACAAAGGAATCCCTATTTAGGGCTTAACTTTAAGTGCCATTGAAGTCCATGAGACTTTAGAGCATGCTTAAATGTAAGCACATCTTAAATAATTTAAGGAAACAGAACCTGGGGGACTGATTGTCTTTGCAGCTGAAGTGTAATGACTTAAATCTATAGGCAGAAATCACTACCGCTGGTAACACCTTCAGCAGTAATAATCCAACAGCTTTCTGTGTGTTTTTCAGAAACAAATCTCATGTACTTTATCTACCATTTAATATTTCTCTTGTAATTTTCCTTCCACAGTATGTGGCATTTGCCTCCCTCTTCTTCATTCTGGTCTCCATCACCACCTTCTGCCTCGAGACCCATGAGAGATTTAACCCCATCGTGAACAAGACAGAGACCGAAATCATTGGCAACGATACCCAGGTGCGATACTACCGGGAAGCAGAGACTGAGGCCTTTCTCACCTACATCGAAGGCGTCTGTGTGGTCTGGTTTACATTTGAGTTCCTGATGAGAATTACTTTCTGCCCAAACAAGGTGGAATTTATCAAAAACTCTTTGAACATCATTGACTTTGTGGCCATTCTGCCTTTCTATTTGGAGGTTGGACTCAGTGGCCTGTCTTCCAAAGCTGCTAAGGATGTCTTGGGCTTCCTACGAGTAGTCCGCTTTGTGCGAATTCTGCGAATTTTCAAGCTGACCCGCCACTTTGTGGGGCTGCGGGTCCTGGGACATACTCTCCGTGCCAGCACAAATGAATTCTTGCTGCTCATCATCTTCTTGGCATTGGGCGTCTTAATCTTTGCCACGATGATCTACTATGCTGAGAGAATAGGTGCTAAACCCAATGATCCTAGTGCCAGTGAACATACACACTTTAAAAATATCCCCATCGGCTTTTGGTGGGCTGTTGTCACCATGACGACCCTGGGCTATGGAGACATGTATCCTCAGACTTGGTCAGGCATGCTGGTGGGGGCACTCTGTGCTCTGGCCGGTGTGCTGACCATTGCCATGCCAGTCCCTGTCATTGTGAACAATTTCGGAATGTATTACTCCTTAGCTATGGCTAAGCAGAAGCTACCAAAGAAAAAAAAGAAGCATATCCCGAGGCCACCCCAGCTGGGATCCCCCAATTATTGTAAATCTGTCGTAAACTCTCCACACCACAGTACTCAGAGCGACACATGCCCACTGGCCCAAGAAGAAATTTTAGAAATTAACAGAGCAGGTAGGAAACCTCTTAGAGGAATGTCCATCTGACCTTTAACTTCCATACCTTGTAGAGATTTAAGATTCAGTCAGACTGCTTTCGTAGAGCAATGGGTAGCACATTTATCCATTATAGTCCCACCACCACACACTGAATATCATGTGTGAAGTCTAGGTTGCAGGGACAAATGACGCAGGGGAGGATCAGATCATGCTCCAGGAGCCTTAACTTTGGTCCTGGTTAAGGGAATACATGGTTCAAGATATTTTTTGAAGAGCAATTACATCTAGTGAAAGAAAATGTGAGCGTTCAACAGCGATGTTGCTGGACTCTATAGTGCACCATGGAGGCACCTGAGAGCTGAATGCTTCCTAGCAGAACAGGAGCTGAGTACGCTGCTCTCACAGAGATTTCTGACACAGCAGGGCCAGAATTTCAAAAAGCCAGAGGGTTGTTGTTGTTTTTTTAATTTTTAATCTCAGCTGTGATTTTTCAGCTGATTTTTAAATGGCAGGTATTGTGCATCTGATTAAAGAAACTAGGTGCCTACTAAATTGAAGGAATGACTACACCAACATGCTTATTCACAAGGCAATCCCATCTCTTTCAGATGATTAACTGCTAAGTAGAACGATAGCTTAAATTCTTGACACTAACACAAAATGACTCACTAGGAGACATTAATAGATAAGGATGTTAACTCCATAGCATGCAAACCAACCCATTTTATATTACACTAGAGTTTAGCATATAACGTTATGAAGCATTTTAAACCACAGTAACGTAAACATATTTGCTCCTCATGAAAGTGTGGATTGGTGATAGATCTTTCAACCTTTTAGTAGTAAAGGTTGACTGGAAAAGGGATAATACTGGTCTCTATTGGCAGATTTGTACTAAAGAGCAATGAGTGATAATCTCACAACAGGGTAATCTTGTTTTTTAATTATATGGATTCATGTCAGCAATAGGAGAAACCCCAATGAGAGTAACATTATAATTTCATAATTATTCCATTTGGGTAGGATCAGGGGAGAAATACTAGTCACCATGGAATATATTATAATATCCCATGGCTAGTGGTTAATTATGGGACTCTCTCAGTTTTATGAGAATCCTTAAATAGCACATGAAGTTACAGGGCTCCAATCTGATTATTTTAATCCCATAATCTACTCTACCCATGGAATATCATCTATTTACTGTGTGGAAACAGTAAATTCAAAGTCAATCACATTTAAAACAACACCAGAACCATTCTGGTCGAGGTTCCAGCCAAGTTGTACAGTGTGCATTCGTCAGCCCGTTACAAATTACTTCACACAGCATGTACTGTGTTAGATAAAACAGGTCACCAACAGAGTGAATCTCACAGAGTTTTAGTCACAAAGAGGCATTTTGAAAGAACTAGCTTTCACCTATGATGGTCTTGTGTTCTTATCATTTTTTACTTTGAAGAATATTCTGATTTGTCACTCCTCATGGGTGAGGTATTGTCTCTTCATCTCATAGTCATGCATGTTGATGTCATTGAAAGAAGCACAAAGGAAGTGAGATCTTCCTTTGTGTGTGAATTCTATAATGCCAGTGCTAATTTCTGAAAGGCGGGCGGTAGTGCAAGTTGAATTTGTTGTTTTTAAAAAAACTTTTGTGCAACTATGTACAATCCATTGAGCTGGTAAAGAGCTTTCATTTTTTCTTCTCTGTTTTAAAACTCTCCCATTGCATCAGGTCGACCACAATCCATGCAATTCTGTCTCTTTACAATTTTACCCTTCATGCGCACATATTTTATCTGTCTATTCCTCTTGGGTTGCAAATGCTTCTCACAAAGTCATCTCCAGGCATGGAAGCAGCTTCCTCATAAGTGGATGCTTTGTGGCTTTATAAATCAGGAGGAAAAGAGGGCACTCACAAAATGGTGGGTCACATCTGAAAGTCACTCCGACTACTCAGTTGTTGTGTGAGCAAGGGACACCAGACTTTGCTTTGGCAGAGAGTTGGAGAATGACTTGTCACTTTAAGACAGAAGTCCCTTGCTTTAAGTTCCACATATCCTGGTCCTTGAACTTTTGAGGACTTGAGGCCCAAGAACTCTGCGAGTTCAATTCAACTCCACGCCAGTATCCTGAGAATACGTGTAACTTTGGTTCAATATGGAACTGTTTTGTCACCATGAGGGTGGAACTCAGCTGTTGCTATAGTACATCTGAAGTACTGGTAATGACAGCAAATTATCCCTTTCTGCAATAATAGATTTAAAGAGTCTATTGTTTATTTTTTATTTGTCTAAATCTATTTTAACAGCCCTAACACACTAGTACTTCACCTGATGGAGATGGACTCAGTAACCACTCTTACTGGAGTTCAGAGTTCAGAGTTCTATTTCAAGCTTCTATTTTAGCTTCCTACAGAGGAAAAGGTGTATGTGTGAGAGAAACAAAGAAAGTCATGAATAAGATCAGAGTCGCACTGTTAAATGCAAGCTCTGCACAGCTTTGTCTCCAAATCGGAAGGATCAGTGCATCCATCCATCCATCCGGATATTCACTTTCTTGAGTAATCATGTACTCATAGGACTATACTGTCGGGGAAACTTAGCAAGAGGTTCCGCATTCTATGGAAATCCATGCTGTGCTAGTCATGAATGTTCCACAGACTGTAGGACATTTGGGTTAGTCACATTGCCTAGTTACAGACAACTGGGTACTAGGAGCCCAAAATGGATTGTTTCATCCCAATGCCTCTAGCAAGCGATCCAAATATTGTCCTTTCAGTTTGTAACTGCTAAACTCCAGTACAGTTTCATAGCACTTTGTAGGAGATACAAGACAAATAGCATGTACCTCCAGAACATTCTTTAAAATATAGCTTCTTTAGCGGGTTACAGTTGAGACATCAAGCACTGGTATGTGTGCTATTCTTATAGCAATGTGATCAAAATTCACAAGACAGTGAGAAGGGGAAATGGTTCCACCTATTACAGCAGCACTACTGCTCAGCAGAGTGACCTCTTATTGGCAGATTCACAAGCATGCAATGGACCAAATGCCGTCTTCAGACTTGTGCATGCAGTACAGTGAAGCCAATAGACTTCTGAGGGCCAGATTCTGATACATTTCTTCTGACTGATCCTGAGAGCAGAAGTTAGCCCCCGGTCTAGGGCACTGAAGAGCTCCTTTGTGTGATGACATGGCTTTCTGGGCATTTATAGCCTGGCACTCCATTGTTCACACAAAGGGTCACACAAATGGAAATTAGAACGGGTCAGAACATTTAAAAAATGTTAAGGAAAATGGTGTGGGAGGGAGGGGGATTGTGAGCATGCCATTATTTCTTCTCCTGCTTTCTTGTTTTCTTACCTGTTCTACTCGAAGCACCACTGATGTAGATAGGCAAGACTCTGTTGCATAGCCCATCTCTTAGGAAAGGCCTGTGTGAGAGCGTTCAGGTGTTGGGTTAACCATTTACATAGAAAGACATTGATTCTCCTCTGTGCTGGAGCACAAGAACGTAAAGGGAGGGTGCTGCCAGAAAATAAGTCTTGGCTCCTGGATTCTGAGCTGTCTAGCCCTGGCATAAATTAAAGCATTGGTGGAAGGAGTTTTAACTGATGCCACCAACGCAAGGTGGCTCTACACCAGTGATGGACTGTGCGTAGCAGAGTCTTGCTCTGCCACACTTTCCCTCCCGGCAACAACTCGCCGTCTCAATGTCTTTCCTTTCCCTTATGTCAGGCAGGCAGGAGGCAGCTTCTGGGGCAGGAGATGTGAAGTCATGGCAGCAGCTTGAAGCCAGCAGTGACTTCCCCCTGCGCAGGGGGAGTTTTCTACGGACAATCTCTGGCCATTATAAATTTATTTTCTGCAACTTACATAGCAAAGTGATCTGAGCAGACTGGAGAATTGGAGCCAAAATGATATGCAGGAATACATTTCACCCATGACTAACTTGACTGTAAAACTACTTGAAACCCAGACCTGAGATATGCGATCCACTATATGGGCTTAGCTGCCCTTGTCTTCAAAACAAGCATATACCTTTCCAGGCCCTGGACCCACCAAATAAGATTATGTTGCCATTTACTTTTTTTATTGCAGTATGATCTAGTGGCCACTGTTAAGATCAGGGACTCATTGAGAAAGAAAGAGATAACCCCTGTAGACTGCAAGCTTCTTTCGAAAGAGGCTTTTTCGAAAAATAATTTTGAAAAAGCCTCTTTAAAAAAGAGCATCTAGACTACAAGCAGAACTTTCAAAAAAGCATGTCACTTTTTCGAAAGAGAGCACCCAGCCAATCTGGATGCTGTGTTTTGAAAAAGCACAGTTTGCATTACATAGCGCCTTTTTTCGAAAGAGCACTTTTGAAAAAAGGCATTCTTCCTTGTAAAACGAGGTTTTCTGCAGTCAAAAAAAACTGCTGCATTCTTTCAATTTAATTTCAAAAGAACGCAGAGGCAGTCTAGACACAGGTGAAGTTTTTTCGAAAAAACCCTTTAGTCTAGACACACCCTGAAAGACTTGCAGTCTAAGGGTATGTCTACCTGGAGGCACTATTTCGGGATACTTCCGGTATGCCGAAATAGCTATTCCGTGTCTTTTAAACGAGTCCGTTATTTTGAAATATAACAGGCTCGCTATACTGACATCCCTGTAAACCTCATTCCACAGGGATTAAGGGACTGTGTAGACAGTGCCAAATTACAAAATAAGCTATTTCAGAATTAACTTGAAATAAGCTACACAATTTGCATAGCTCAAATTGCATAGTTTATTTCGATCTAAGGGTGCAGTGTAGATGCACACCATATGAACAAGAAAGGCAAAGGGCGGATAGAAAGAAGTATTATCTTCATTTTACACAGTGGGGCTTGTGAGATCAAGAGTGTCTTATTCAAGGTAACACAGGAAGTCTGTAGTGGAGCTGGAAACTGAGGTGAGATGGCCTGAGTCCCAAAAGCATGCCCTAACAAACAACAACAACAAAAGACAATACAGAGTAACACTAGTCTCTTTAGT